TATATAAAACTAGGTGATAATCCACACTTTGTGCGGAGTCAAATAATTAATATTTATTTACATTAATATAATTTTAAAATTAAATAATATAATATAGATTTTATTTGTGTTTATATAATATTACTCTATAACATTAACAAAATATTTAACATTGACAATATAATATATAAAAAAAACTATTCAATTTTCATAAAATACGACTTGTTAAAAATTTGAAATTACTATACAGATTTTTTATATCATGTGATTAATGACATGATTCAACATTTTCACCATGCTCAAGCTTTAGGTATACAATATTTGTGTACAAACTTATTTCTTTTTGACACTGAAAAATGTAGGTCATGCTCATATATTATTCTTTTAATCACTATTAATTCATCATATGTATTTAGCATTTGGATGCAAAATCAATAACATAAAAAAATTGGATATTAGAGATGCCAAGAAAAATAGAAATTGAATGAAATATTTGCATCTGAAAAATCAAAAGACCAAAATAGAGTTTGAATGAAACATTTGAGGTTTTTAATCGAAATCATAAAATCGCATTTTTCTGCTGAAAATCTGAAATTACGTTTTTCTCTAAAAAACGGGATTTCTCGTCAAAGTTTTGAAATAACATTTTCTACCAAAACCAAAATTTTTTTGTTAAAACCGAAAGTCATTTTTCCGAAAACACCATAAAACTGTGTTTTATAACCAAATTTCTAAAATCATGTGTTTCTACAAACCCGCAAAATCACATTTTCTCACCAAACCCACAAAATTATGTTTTCCGGTAAAATTCATAAAACTGCATCCCCCCCCCCCCCCCCCCAAACATGCAACATGCAAAATCGCGTTTTCTACCAAAACCACAAAATTATGGTTTCTCGCAAACCCCCATAAATATATTTTTTCACGTAAACCCCGTCAAACTATATTTTCTCACCAAACATCAATAAAACCTGCATTCCCCACTAGATACGTAAAATCGTATCTTTCCACAAAATCTGCAAAACCATATTTCCCTGTAAACTTCGTATAATTACGTTCTGCCAAATCAGCAAAACTGTGTTTTTTCTATCAAATCCGCAAAACTGTATTTTCCGTAAAACTCGTAACATCGTATTTTTCCGTAAACCTGTAAAACTACATTTTCTGTCAAACCCGATAAACTGCATTTTCTTATCGAATCCGCGAAACTGTGTTTTTCTGTAAAATCTTTCCAATTGAAAATTTCCCGCCAAAATTCGTAACTCGATAAAATCTGCCAAAACCGATAATCATGTTTTCTATCAACATCATAAAACATTTTTTAATGGCCAAACTTCTGAAATGGCGTTTTAAAATATTGTTTATGTGCCAAAATCCTCAAATTGCGATTTTTACAAATTACAAATTTTTAGAAAACGCAAATAATTATAATTTTTATTTCAAAATATTAAATATACATTAAAATTAATACAAAATAGATTATATATTTTTAAGTTTAATACTACTGATCAATTATCTAAATTATATATAAGAGAGTCAATATTTATATTTCTTAACTTATTGATCCAATAAAAATATTTTTTAAAGGAATTTGATCAAATTATAATATAATATAAACAAAATAGTATTTTAATTTGTACATCGGGGTATTTTCTTGATTAAATTAAAACTTCATAGTATATAACTTTTAATCAAATATAATTATTTATAATATTATAAATTATTAACACAGTATGTTATTTTAAATATTTTGACTATTTGATATTATATATTTTCTAGTTTTTTAATATTTATATTTGTTGGTTAATTCTTATGGTTCTATTAAAAAAATTAAGTCAAATTTTGATGTCTATTAATTCAAGTTTTGTGCTTTTACTATTTTTTTTTTATTTTTTTTTTCTGTATTTTTATAATGATTTTTGAACCATCTACATTTTCTTATTTCCAATATGTGACTTATAAAACATATTTATATTTATTCATCATTTGAGTAATTTATATTTGTTTTTAAAAATTTAAATTATAACACATGTATTAAAAAATATGTAAATGATGTGATGATTTTATTTTTACAAAATTAGCTTAAATTAAAGCAAGAAAAAAACATAGTATAAGAAAATAATTAATATAATGTTATTTTTGGTAAATAGAAAGAGAAAGAATATCTTTATAATTATGTGCTAAATTAGATATATATATATATATGCTAAACTATTTTTTATGTATTTTTGTGATGATTTTTGAAACATCTACATCTACATTTATATTTATTCATCAGTTGAGTAATTTATATTTATTTTAAAAAATTTAAATTATAACACATGTATTAAAAATCTATATATTTTTTATGTAAATGATATGATGATTCTTTTAAAACAAAATAAGTTTAAATAAAAGCAAGAAAAGAAACATAGTATCAGAAAACAATTAATATGATGATATTTTTGGTAAATAGAAAGAAAAAGAATATCTTTATAGTTAAATGCTAAATTATATATATAATTGATATAAACTATGGTCTAAGCAATTAGTATGAGTGGCACATCCCCTATATATTAATTGAGAAGCATTTTTATAGAGTAACCTCATTTTTAAAGTATTTACAGTGGTACCATTATGCAAATGTGTCAACCCCATATTCATTCTCAGCTAATTTTTTAAAAGAGACTTAAATTACTAGACTAATTACATGATATGTCATTGTATATTTTAGTTCCACACATATGTTATGTTCATTATTTAAATGAATTGAAAGGAAATAATATACAAATAATAATTTAATTGAATAAATTTGTCAATGCTAATTATAAAATACACAGAAATACTTTATTAAATAATAATTTTAAAATAATATCTACAAATATTTTATTATAAATTCATAAAAATATATAATACTTTTTAATCTTTTCTACTTTTATCATTCATAACAAAATATATAATAATTTTTTAATGTTTACTTTGTTAATGTTTACTACTTTTTTCAAAAAATATGTTTATTAATTATTCATTAAAAATATTTTTTATAGATACAACACAAAAATTAAAAATCATATTTTATTTTCCTCAAATTCATAATAAAATATATAATACTTTACTAATGTTTATTTCTTTTGTCAGAAAATATTTTTATTAATAGTTCATTAAAAGATATTCTTATAAATACAACATAATAATTTATTTTTCTCAAAAATCAATGAGAACATATAAATGAAATTTATATTGATTTTATTCACATATTGATGTAATTATAGCATGCACGAGTATAATTATGAAAACATCTATAATACCTCAAGATAAATATTTTTAATGAATATTTTTTAACGATTCATAATAATATTTACGAAAATATATTATTTTTATATGTTATTTTCGTCAAAAAATCAATCAGAAAAAGTCATAGTGACGAATTTACAAAATTATTATGATATATATTATTACTATTTGGATTTAATATATAAGAAAATATGGCATATGATATTATTACTTACTTTATATACGGTTCTTAGGTGACGAATATGGTATATACCATTATTGCTTATTTTTTTGGGTAAAATACCATAACATGATGATACTAATATTAACTGCTTATTGTTTTTTGAATCAATATTTGATTTATCATATACCAAATTCTTTGCAAGATTTTCTGTGTTTCTTTTGATTTTTTTAGTGGTTAGAAAATGTTTCAATTTGTTAATTTTTTAAATAAATTACCGAAAAAATTAAGTTTATCTGCTTTAAATCAATCAATATAATTACAATAGAAACTCTATAAATTAATAATATTAGGACATTAATATTTTATTAATTTATCTGTTTTTGAATTAAATAATTAAATAAAAATAATATTTGTTTAGAAAGTTAATGATATCTTTAAACATTTTACTTTTAAATTGTAGATAAACCTTAACATTATTCCAACTTTAATAAAAAAAAATTATATATTTATATTTTAGTAAATTATAGTAGTTATATATTAATATAAGATTATTTCATGATAATTATTAATTTATGAAATTACTGAAACATATATATTTACATAGGTTTTTTTTAAAAAAAACTTAAGCTTTTTGGTAATTTAGACATACTGTATTTTATAAGTAGACAAACTTTCGATCAATACCCATTGATAAATGGTATTAAAGAGAAATCTATGCTTTTATATGCAAATTTATTTATTAAAATACTTTTATATGTTGGAAAATATTTTTTGATTAAATATTTATATATTTTTGGAGTTAACAACTGTTTTTTGTAACAAGACTAATTATTTACATTAATTTATGGTTATAGTTGTAGCTTTTCTAACTTTGTTGTGTTCTATATATTTTTTGTTTCCAATTATTTTGATCGTATACATATTCAAATACTTCTGATTTTAAATTTAGTTATCGACTGTTTATATTGAGATTCTGAATTTTTTACAAATTAATAAATATAGTTTGGACATTGGTGAAAACACTGAATCATGTCGTTTATCACGAGATATATAAGATTTATATAGTGACTTCGTATTTTTACCCAACTAAACCTTGGACCATGTATAGGATATTTAATTTTAAAATTAATTTATATAATATTTTTAGTATGTTATTGCATATTGTTATATGACACTCATATTAAATCAATTATATCATATTGTATAATCTCAAAATTAATCTATTATATATATTAATTATTTCACCCCGCACAAGAAGTGGGTTATTACCTAGTTATGTAATTATTTTAGTAACAAAAGTTTTTTTTCAAAAACATTCTGAGAAGCTCTATGGTGATGACACATCAGCAAAATGGCATCATTGTAATTACTTATAAAAATAAGATTAGTCTCTAAAAATATTCTCGATTAATATATAGAGGATAGCACAATGAGGGATAATTGTAAAACTGTTATCATGACAAATTGAACTGAATAATGTTTTAACTGAATAATTTATAAATTGCTGAAAAGGTAGTTTTTGCTGATAAATAGTATAAATGGTCCCCAACAACATGACGTTTTCAAAACGTTAAAAATCTACATATCATCTAGTCCTAAATAAATAGACATAAGTCCAAAATTTATTGATTAATGGGAAAAAAAGGTCCAAGTTGACATACATACATTATTGTGTTGTTTGAATTGGTGAAGTAGAGGCGTGTTAAAACCTTCAAAGAACCGGTTTGTGCAGCATAAGTATCATACCGCAAGGGTCTTACCTCTATAGCTGATATAAGTGGTGTACTTGTTCCTGCCTTAACAAGACATATATCTAAAACGTTAGATCCTGTGATGTGAATGATATCCTCTACATCACCGAAACCTGTTTTCCGCAGATCTAGGGATTTCCAAATATTAGGACCAAGGTAGAGGTCGAATCTTGGAAAAATATTTAGACCGTCGTAGATTCCATATACAAAAACTGTCCTGATCAGATAATTTGTGTCTTGCATCACACTCAAACTGTAACAGTTTCGCAATCCATCAGGAAAATACCTCAAAACCCTATATGGCTTAGAGATAAAGTCTGTCTCCGAGGCCTTTTGGATGGTGCTGGTTTTTCCCCCGTAGATTAAACCGGCATCGGATATGTATGTTATATTGGTCACTAGGAGATTCATTGGAAGGTAATCTACAACCTATACTGATGAATCCTGGTTACACAGGAGACATAAATCGGAAATTGTATATAATAGATATACAGAAGACAAACAGGGATCTAAAAATACCTCGTTGATTCTGAGACTGAACTAGGTGTATAATGGAGAAAGTGCCACAAGCAATAAACAAAAGCTCCTTGCAAATCATCATTAGCGACTACTTTTTCAATTATTAGCCAAATCAAAATTTAACAACCACCAGAGTCTTGAAACATTATGAAGTCATTTATATATTCTATGTACCCTTCTCATGAACACTGAAAGTGAAAGCTGGCAAAGTCAACTTAATGAATACGTCAACCCGCCAAAGAAAACGAGCAGAAATTAATTTACTAATACAAATGGAGGAAGAGATTGATAGTCTAATATTAAACGCAAACTCTCTATGAAATGGTCAAGCAGTGATGGTACCAGCCTGGTACTCTTGAAGTTATATAGATATATATAAAGAGGTTTCAATAACAACTGACGTGCGATATGATTTTGCAGTCTTGATTCAGTTTTTAATAGAGAGAGTCTTTTAATTTGGGTTTTAATCATTGTGTTTAAGGTTCTATATATTTATATCAACTCGTCCGAGCTGCCAAACAAACAATTTTAGGATGTTTTCAGCAGAGTGCATCTTCTGTAATACGTATAGAGATATATGGATACATATGTTAACCTAAGTAATGTCTTTTTTTTTTTTGATCGAGATGCCTGACGACAAATCTTATTCTTGTCAGAGCCATAAAAATTCGTAATCACATTTTTGGCAGGAAATGCATAATCATGTTTTTAGTGGGAAAATAGGAAATCACACTTTTGAAGAAAAATGCAAAATTACAATTTTGGTAGAAAAATGTGGAATCGTTAGTTTATGCTTTCATATATATACATAATACATCTAATACTAAGTGTTTGATTTGCGCTATTGGTTTCAGTTGTTGCTATCTAGAGTATATAAATAAACAAGCTATGAATTAAGTAGAGTTGGTAAAGAGATCCATGTGTTCCTCAACAATTCTTGTGGGATGGTCTTCCCTACAAGTACACCAATATTTCTATACCACCAAGAATCCATTCCTTGTACGTGTAATTAATGATCATTCACAAAAAAGGGTTCGTATTCTTGTTTTGCAAGGAAACATTTAGATTTTTAATTGAGGATGATGACATGGATTTGGAATTAGGTGCGGAGAGAAGCATGTATGCTCTTGTAGAAGAAATGAACGGAGTGATGGAAGTTAATATTGAAAGACCATTACTATGGAAAATCGAGGTGGAGGCTAGGCTAACGTGGTGTGCAATAGTTTATGTTCGAGTCTAAGGCACAATGCTTTGATATGCTACGCATGAACTATGCAACATCTATGGGTTTATGTAAAAAGCTATCATAACAGTATAAGCTACAGAAATTTTATCATGTTTATCTTGAAGAGAGTGTTGCAATGTTCATAGAGATGGTTGCACTCAGGGGAGGAGCTAGTAAGAGAGGAGATCGGTCAGCTCTACCAAATTTTCCAAAATATATTTTTTTTTAAACTAAAATTATTCTGACCCCACAAAGTTTTTTTTTTTAAACCTCATAGAAAACAAAAGAGAAATTTTCTCAGATACACTTAATCTAAGTTTTTGTTCCTAATATACATTAACACTCTAAAAATTTTCTTCCATAACATTTTTTACTAAAGACTTGACCATATTAACCTTAGTTAAAAAAAGAAGAAGAAAAAAAAAAGTATCAGTGGCCAAGACTGATCTGAAATTCGAATCCTTTGTTTGTTTAGGATCGCTCTTCTCGTTTGATTGTGATTTGTGATTGTGAATGTTTTAGATCTTTGAAGTTTTTTTTATGGAAAAGTGTTTTCAGGATTAAAAGCTCAAAATCTTATAGTAGAAAATAGATCTGATATAATTGGATGAAAAACTCAAGAAACCCGAGTTAAAACAACAACAATGGTGAAAAAAAAAATCAGCGAAAATTAGGGTTTGGATATCGCAGAGGTGAGGAATGAGATAAGAATAAATTTAAAAAATTATTCTGAACTGTTAGGAAGACTTTCCTAAAATGTACAAATTAAGAAAGTCATTATAGTATGTATTTAGGGAAGCCTTCGTAAATTGTATAGTTGATTTTTTTTTTTTTGTTTATTTATACAACAATTCAAATTCAGGAAGCCATTTCACAATTTAGTAAGCTCTTCCACAATTCATGAAGCTCATCCACAAATCATGAATTTTTTAAAAATTTAGGAAAACTTTCCTAAATCATATGAAACAATGTTGAATTTTAATATTTAGAAGACCTTCCTAAAAAATCACGAAATATTGTCAAAAAAAATATTCAGGAAGACTTTCCTAAAGAGTAAAATTAGAAAGATTGAATGAAAAATGTTAGGGGGTGAAAAAAATTAAGCTTCCCTGTTATATTTGTCCTAAAAACTTGTTTTCAGTGTAAACTAGGTAGCTGGCCCGCACATAATATGCGGGCATGAAAAATTTATAAAAAATTAATTATTAATAATATATATCATTAATAATAAATAAGTGATTGGCCTGTTTTGATAATATATTTGTTAAAAAAATTTGTTTGTAAAAAAGTGTTTTAATAGATTTGAGAAATTTAGTCATAGTAAAAAATAAAACATATACAAAATTTAAAATATTTTTAAAAAAATTATAAAATAAAATAATTCTTCATTATTCGTTATTTTCTACTTTTTATTTATATTTTTCATCTTTTTATATTTTTCTGTCACTTTATGTCTTATTTCTCATTCGTAATTCTCACTATATAATTGAAATACATTCACATATAATATAAACTTTTGATCTTTATTTATAGTGAGACAAAATAAGATTATAATAAAAGTGAAGAAATTCTCCTTCTAAAAAATTTGATGGCGCAAAATTTCACAAAACAGACAATTGAACTTATAAATACTTTGCTAAACACTTACTTAAAATAAGATTTCAAAAATTTTCATCAAAAAACAGATTTCACAAATTTCATGCCAAAAACATGAATAGGTAACTTTCACACTCTTAAAAATTCCGTCAAAAATATGATCTAAAAACACTTTATCAAAATTTTGATTTTGTGAATTTTTCGTCAAAAATTGAAATCATAAAAAAAAATTCGCCAAAAACTTTACATTAAAAATATGATTCTAAAAACTACAAGTCAAAATTTTGATTTCATGAATTTTCTGCTATATAAGTGAAACCGTAAATCTTCTTTCAAAAAACCTTATTTAAAAATATAATTTTAAATAACTTTCTTGAAAATCTGATTTCAAAATTTTTTTGCCAAAAACATGAATTTGTAACTTTCCCACCAAAAATATTTATTTTAGAGTATTTTAATTTGATTTCGTGAGATATCAAAAAGTTTCTGGCTAAATAGGTTGTCACAAATTTTCTGCTAAATATTTGAAATGCATAAATTGTTTTAGCAAAATTTTTGTGTCGAAATGTAATTTCAAATCTATTTAACAAAAATATAATTTTTCCAAATACTTTAATACCACTTTACGTCCTATTCCTGGTTCGTAATTCTCACTATATAATTGAAATTCATTCACATATAATATAAACTTTTGATCTTTATTTATAGTGACAAAATAAGATGATAATAAAAGTGAAAAATTCTTCTTCTAAAAATATGATGCCGTAAAATTTCACACAAACAATTGAACTTGTAAATAAAGATCATTGTATTTTGATTTTGTGAATTTCTCGCCAAAAAGTGAATCCGTAAAAACAAATTCGCCAAAAACTTTATATTAAAAATCTGATTCCAAAAACTAACAGTCAAAATTTGATTTCATGAATTTTCTGCTATATAAGAGAAACCGTATATCTTTCGTCAAAAAACTTATTTAAAAATATAATTTCAAAAAACTTCCGTGAAAACCCGATTTCAGAAATTTTCCACTAAAAACATGAATTTGTAACTTTCCCACCAAACCATTTATCTTAGAGTATTTTAATTTGATTTCGTGAGATATCAAAAAATTTATGGCTAAATAGGTTGTCACAAATTTTTCGCTAAATACTTGAATTCCGTAAATTTTTCTGGCAAAATTTTTGTGTCGAAATGTAATTTCAAATCTATTTGAAAAAAATATAATTTTTCCAAATTTTTGTCAAAAATTTGAATACTTCTATTTTGTATCAAAATTTTAACATCAAATTTTATTTATAGATTAAATAATGCCATGTCACAAGTCATGTGTACTAAAAACTGACATGTCACAATTACATCATCATTACACATCATCATTTCCATGTCACATTAAAATTGCTCAAACTAAATATATTAACCAATTAAATTAAAATAAATCAGCATTTTTCATTAAACTACATTCTCAATTAATAGGTAGAGGATATAGAAATTGCCCAAACAAAAAACTAATCTTTATTTAACTATTAAATGGGTTTATATATTTTCTTTTATTTAAAACTTGGGCTCATATTAAATTTAAGCCCAAATTTGAACATAATAATGATCCATAAATTTTATGGATCTAAGTATTAGTATATTTTACTTTTATTTTAAAAATAGAAATGAAAACCTAAATTTTTAAAAAAGGAAAACTAAAGAGTCGTCTCTCTCTTTGCTCTTTATCGAAGAACACAATCTTCTATCTTTGCATTACACCAATCTCTTTGCACCATTCATTCACCATTGACCAATATCAGTTTTTAATTGAAATTCAGGTTATTTTTCTTACATCTATACTTATATTATAATATATTTAATTATATTTTATGTATCTTATTGACTTATTAACTGAAAGAGGTACGATTCCAGACTTTGAATTCATATACAAGTTAAGGGTTTGTGTTTATATATAAATTTAGGAATTAAATTAATTTATTTTAATTTGCCAGATAAATAATAGATTGATTTTTTAAGAGAAAATCTCCAATCAACAGATAATATTGATATAAATAGTTTGCCGTACTATTCCGATGAAAGGAAAGGAATACTAGAATATCATTCGAATTAAAGAAGTGAGATAAGACATAAGTATTTGATTAGAGGACTTTGTCAATCTCGTGGCCATAATTTTGCATAATGAGTTATAGAAAATACATCAACGCGTTTTAATTATAGTTAGTTTGATCAATATGGTGATTGGTTGGAATACAATATGAAAAAAGAAAAGGTATATTGTTTG